CATTGTGTTTTCGCTCATGCCTCAGCGGACGGACATCTGAGTTCTTTCTTGTTTTCTAGCGTTTATGGATTAGGAACAGTGGTGTGTACATTTTATGTGGACATCTGGTTTTTCACTCTCTAGGGTGTGTCTCTAGGAGTGAAGTGGTGGGATCATACGGTAATTCTGTTTCACTCCTGGAAGAACTGCTAGTCTGTTATCCAAAGCAGGTCCCTGAACTACATTTGAATTTCAAATAAACAATGAGTACTTTTTTTAAAAAGTATTTGTCACACACGGTTATGCAAAAAAAAAAAAGTGTGACTTCTCTGAAATTCAAAGTTAAATGAGTATCCTGTGTTTGATCTGGTAACCCATCACCAGGTGGGCTTCAGGTTGTAGCTCAGTTACCCCAGGGGATGGGAAACTGCCCTCCTGTCACGGGCCACTATCCTTCTCTGACTGGTCTGCCTAAAATCTCTTTTTGGATCCAGGCTGGGGTGAGCATATGCCAGCACAGTCTAATCAGTCTTCCACCCACCTCAGCACTGTGATTAGTTCCAGTTGGGCAGGTGACCAAGCATAGCCAATCAGAGGCTTTCCTGGGATTTGGACTGGAATTTGCAGGAACTGCGCCTTCTGCTAGGGTATTTCCAGAGTAACTAGCATGTCTGCGCTGGGCAGATGAAAAGCTGTTGGCAGGAGAGTGGCCAGAGATCTAAAATGCTCCTGAGCCTCCTGGACAACTCCTACATCGTTTCCAAAACGTCTCTCCAATGATTTCTTGATGTGCTTATAAAAAAGTGCTTACGGAGTGAGCTAGTAATTTTTTTCCTTAAGAACGTCCACATATCCATCAAAGTCCTCCCCAAATGTCTCTGTGAGGGCCATTAGTGAGTGTGGTTGTTGAATGAACAAATGATTCCCTACCCCCACCCCGTGAACTTGTACTTTAGCGCCCACCTCAAGTGACCCTAAGGTAGCGTCAGAAAGTCTTGGTTGAATGAATGAATGAAAAATGGTCTTATTGGTGATTGATGTGCGTGCTTGTGATTGTCATATGAACCAACAGTTCTTACAAACTCCTACTCATCCTTCAGTGCCCCTCTTAGGTGCCCTTGGGGCATCAAGGTCTGTTGGCCACCTAGAGGGAGGTTCGCCCTCCTCAAGCTGAAGGTCACCCACCCAGGGAGGGAGTCCGAAGCGGAGAATGTGGGGGAAGTTCTGCAGTTCCTCCTGTCATGATTTCCGGGCCCCTGTGACTTGCTGCAACCTGCCTTTCTCCCCTCCCCCATTCTGTGGGGCCGTGGAAAGTGGGACGGCCTGACTTTGGGGCTCCCTGGGAGGGGCCACTGAGGGGCCCACACAACTTCCTGGAGGAGGCAGCCTGGGCGGGCAGAGATGGGGTGTGGTGAACCTCAGGATGAGCTGTGGACTGTGACCCCAATAAGGCTGGAAATGCCACCTCAGAGTGTCTGTGGTTCCCCCCACCCCGTTCACACACTAGCACCTGTGGGAGAAATTTGAGGCCCTCAGCCTAGTATTTGAGGCCCTTGCTCAGCAAGCCAGCTCCCCAGAAGAAACCCCAGGCGAGCCACATCCGTCCTGTCCTAGCTTTGCTTCAGCTGTATCCGCTACCCAGAATTCCTTTTCATTCTATAATTCCTGGTTCAAGGGCCCCCTCCTCCCGGCAGCCCTGCCACGTCCCCTTCAGGACACCCACTACCTTCCTCCCCAGCCCTAGCCCTGACCCAGGTGCTGAGCACAGCTGTGTCTGGCCTGGTTCCCCTCCATCACCCACCCCTCTCTCCATGTTTTTCCAGTGACTTCTCCACCTTCTGGGGGATGGGAAAGGAGGGAGCATCAACCATGACAACAGTAATCAGCTGGCAGCACCCCTCGGACTGAGCCCATGTCACAGGGAGGCAAGGGGGGGCCATACTTTCGAGAGGGTCCTGGGTGTGGACCTCATTCCTGCCAGGTAAACTCAGTCCCTGGGGAGTGCCTTGGCTCAGGGTTCCCGTCCACCTCGTCCTCTCCAGCCGGGTCTTCTGGGCGCCTCTAGGCTCAGTTTCCACATCTGGGAAATGGAGCAGGCAATGGGTCTCCTGGGTTAGGGGTCCCTGGTGGGTCAAGAATGAGGGTCCCTTGTGCTCCCTCCTCTGCGTGTCTCTTCTGTTTCCGTCTGCCGTGTCCCTGTTTTTCTCCTTCCCTCTCTCTTTGCCCCTCCCCGCCAGCCACAGATCCGTGACCCCACCCACTCTCTTGCCCTGACCTGGGCCTCTCAGCCCATGAAGGCTGCCCTGTGTAGGGTCGTGGGTCCCTGGTCCCGTTGTGCCAGGCTGGGGACACTGTCGCTTTGTCCCCTGGGCTCTGACCTCATGCTCTGTTGGGCTCCTGACCCTGTCCAGCCCAGCTGCCACTCACTGGACCCTGTGGAGGAGAAGCTTCCTCTCCACACGGTGACCACCCCACCCCCCCAGCCTGCCCCGGTCTCAGTGTCCCCACCTGCTTCCCCTCTTAGGGAGACCCTCAGCGCCCCCAGGGCTCCATGGACATTTAAAAGACTGAGATGAAATCAGCATGGCAGTCACTTTGCCTTTTTAAGGCCCACCATTCAGCGCTAGTAGTGCAGCAGGACCTGGATTTAGCTCCAGAACCAGCCCATCATCTGCATGGAAGCTCCACACCCACTAGCTGTCACTCCCTCTGCCTCCCCGAATCCCTCCCATTGCCCACAGGTTGATTCCGGTGGGTGGCGGCCCCCTGAGGCACACTTGAACTGCCCCACGAGGCTCTCCTCCTGAAGCCAGCGGCCAGGTCTTTCTTCCGAGGTGTCAGGACCGCCAACCTTCCAACCAGGAGCTGAGCATTTTAACCCTTCACGCCACCCAAGGACTCCCTCAAGCCATGGGCAACCACCAAGCCACATTCTGTCTCCAGGCATTTGTCTGTGCCGGACATTCCGGGTCAGCGGGATCAGACCGAACGCGGCTGCAGTTGACCTCTCTCAAGCAGCCTGACGTTTTACAGGTTCACGCCCATCAGGGTGTGAATTTGGCTTCTTCGAGCTCAGTTTGGGGACATGGCTGACTGAGGAAGAGATTCTAGGAGAGGCCAGAATCCAGGGTCAGGAGCTGGGGGGGCCACAGCCCCTCCAGGCCGGAGTTTGGGAATCTTGGGCGACGTCCTGCTACTTGTCAGATGAAGGAATTTGGCCCTCATGCTGCTGGGCTCTTTGCCATGTCCAGAGAAGGCTGAGGCCTGCCCACACAGCCACCAGAAGGGCCCCTGGGCCTGGCACAGGGTGTCCAGGTCAGGTGGGGGCTGTGGTGGAGAGAAGCCTCCACCTCCAAGCCGACTTCCTGGGTTTCTCTTTCTCTTTGACTTGCACCGCGAGGATGCTTACATCTGACTTTTTTTTTGGTCTTTCCTGCTCAGCTTTGCATGTGTTCCGGGGTGGGGGCAGGTTGGCGGGGCCTTGCCGGCCCGTGTAGGAGCTCACCTGGACTGTGGGCTCCAACGTGAACTCCATGGGGTGCCTGGAGACCAGGCTGGTCCTCCCCATCCTTCTTGTCCTCTCCCGTAGGCAGGGCGGTGAGTACTGCTGCGGGACTGGGCTTCTGTCACTGTGTGTGTGTGTGTGTGTGTGTGTGTGTGTGTGTGTGTGTACAGCCATGGGCCTGGGCTGGAGGTTTCTCTCTGTTCTTCTCTGCCTTGGTGTTTTTCTCTGACAAATGGGGACATGGTGATGGCCACCTCCCTGAGCTCTGGGAGTGGGACTTAGACCACTCTTCTGGCTCTTGGTATTCCCTCTGGGCAACTGGATTTTTCTGCTTCCCAGAAGCATGGAGCAAGCCCCCCAGGGAGCCACAATGCGTGTCACAGAGAAGGCATTGTTGTTCTCCTTAGATGCCGTTGACTCGGCCGGGCTCTGGACAGCCCCGCGCACAATAGAACCAAACGCTGCCAGGCCCAGTGCCATCCCGTGATCGGTCGTGGAGTGGACCCGGCTGAGTCAGAGGGTCTTCACGGCACGTCTGGTGCCAGGCCTTTCTGCGTCAGCTGTCCTCGCCTGGAAGTTCAGGCTCCTGGTTGTTAGAATGCATCAAAGCAGAGCGGACCCAGAGCGTGGGTTTTCAGGAACAGATTGATTAGCGTTAGGGACCTGCCCGTGTGTAGAACGGAATGAGAATCAAGGGGGCAGGGGGAGGGGAGATCGGAGGACAGGAAAGACAGACCGGGGGAGCTAGAGAGAGGAGGAGACAGAGGGACGGGCGGGCGGCCACAGGAGAAGGTGAAGACAGTCAGAGAGAGCAAACGAAGGGATCCCGTGTTAATAAACTTTGGGACAGAACTAAAGGATCGTGTCTGAACGGAGCCGGCGCCTCCCTCCCATTGGCTGTGGCACCCGCAGACTGGTGAAAGGAGGGGGGAGGGGGCTGGAGAAAGGAGGTGTGAGGACGGTCGGGACGGAGAGGGGGTTGCAGATGCCGGACCTCTTCTTCTTGGTCACACACAGACGTCCACCGAGAGATGGGGGGTCACTGCCCAGGAGCTGCACTGGCCAGGAATCAGACCACTGAACTGCCCCGGCCCCTGCTCATTAGCACAGATTAGCGTTAGGGACCTGCCCTGGTGTGTAGAACGGAATGAGAATCAAGGGGGCAGGGGCATCTAACACATGTAATCTGTAACGTATACGTGTGTACCTCTCCGTTAGAATCCACTCGGTGACAGTGGAATTTGCCCGAGGCTTCAAAAGATTTCTGAAAAAAGTTGAATAAAAAGATCATGGAATCTTCCCATGAACTTTTGGAAGTCCCCTTCTGTAAGTGCGAATGGGGTCCTGGGAGTGTAGTGTGGTACATGTGGGGCTGGGAAGCACAAGGTCGGCAGTTCAAAGCCACCCCTCACTTCAGGGGAGAAAGATGAGGCTTTCTGCTCCCATAAACAGTGACCATTCTTCGGCACCCACAGGGGCAGTTCTGCCCTGGCCTATCGGGTCGCTGTGAGTCGGCATGGACATGCTGGCAGTGAGTGCGTTGTGAGCGTATATAAATACAAACACACAAGAATCTAAACGCTTTCTTGCCATCTGGTGCAACCAGGCCAGGAGAGAGGTGCCGGCCTCCTGTGGATGGAAGCTTTTCTGCCGTTACCTCAGGCTTATGCCCTGGCCTCTCCGTGCCTCAGCTTCCCTCTCTGTAGTCTAGGCTTCGGCAGGGTGCAGGCTCCTCAGATGGCTCAGTGAGTTAAACTCAGGCAAAGGGCTTGGCTCGGAGCTGGCCCTCCGTAAGGCCAGCCTGTGTGAACTGCGGAACCAGGGTCCGGAGGGGCCTGGTGGGGCAGGGAGATGACCTCAGAGGGCGGGGAGGATGGATTTCCCAGGGGGTAGCTTGCTGGGGATGGCAGCAAATGGTCAGCTCCGGAGGAAGGAGAAGGGTGGGCAGCAGACCCTGGGGTGGGGGGCTGTGGTGGCAGAGAGGGAGATCGGAGGAGAGAACCAAGTGCCCCTCTCCCCACAATCGAGCCACACAGGACTGATTCTTGGGGGGCTGCCTTCTCCTCCAAGGTTTCTAATCCTCCCAGCCCGAGCCCCTCACCCAGGTCAACATCTGACAGACTCTAGCACTCCTGGGGTCAGGGCTGACCCCCTGGCTGAGGGAGGTTATCCTGCCCCCAGGACAGCCTGAGATGCCCAATGTTGTGTGGCCCAGTGTGTTGGCTCAGGCTGGCAGTACCAGTCTCTCAGCACCCGGCTGCCATTCCACC